AAGCTTTTTGTTACAATCATCGATCAACGGCATACTGAAAGGCTTCTTGTTACTAGTAGCGATCAAAGACATACCAAAAAGCTTTTTGTTACAACCATCGATCAACGGCATACTGAAAGGCTTCTTGTTACTAGTAGCGATCAAAGACATACTAAAAAGCTTTTTGCTACAGTCATCGATCAACGGCATACTGAAAGGCTTCTTGTTACTCGTAGCGATCAAAGACATTCTAAAATGTACCCAGAAGTCAAAAAGATCCCAAGAGCGCAAAAAGCTGCAGGCAGGCTTTTTCCAATGCGCTTTGGTTGATGCTGGGGTCCTCCCCCAGACCCTGTATCGTTTGATCCAACTGCCCTGGGCTTCGCCAGGGGGGACAAGGGTGTGTCAGGCAGTAGGATTCGCCCGTCTCTGCCGCAACACCCGAATGTCCCCTGGCCTCCCAGGGCCAACAGGCACCTGTCGAGGTGCCGGGGACAGGGTCGGGAGGACAGCCCACCGGATCCGGTCACGGGATCTTGGGTGGGCAGTTAGGAAAATCCGGTTGAGGACAGAAGTTTTGAAACAAAAGGAAAAACGAAGAGAGTCTCCGGCGCCGGTAGCCGGCGATCTAAGGAGAATCCTTCAAAATCAGGATGGGTCAATTCATCCGCCCAGGTGTTGAATTCCCGGGGGATGTGATTGGGAGCGATGCTACAGCCCTCACAATGAAGGAAGAGAACCAATTCCATGAGCAGTGCCGCAGAGTATGGTTTCTTGGCCGAGAGGTTGAGCAGGCTGAAGATGTTGCCTGAGTTGTCACTGCCCACCGGGAGGCGAACTCTCCCCGGCATTTGGCCCTGTTGGGCCACCAGGTGCTTGCAAAGAAGCAGTGTGCCCAGGAGTTCCAGGGCAGCGATGCGTTTCTGAGGGTTGCCATCCTTGAATGCCCAAGGATGGGCGTCAGCTGTAATGGCATAGTGGAACCAGAGGACATAGGCTTCACCTGTTTTGGATGCGCTAGCATCACTGCATCCCCACCAAGGCGACTTCGGCAAGAAAGGTGAGTACTGTTCAAAGGGGTGCGTGAAGAGCTCCCTCAGGAGGGCGGCCAGCATTCGGACCACCTTTCTTGGGTGGCCCATAGTTTTGACCGCCATCTTCCAAGCCCACATTGGCTGGAGTAGGGACTTGGTCAGAGGACAGCACGCCGTGGCCCATTGGATCCGTCCCATGGCCTTCTCAATGGCCTTGGCTGACATGGGGGATCCATTGGCGAGTTCTTCCAGGGGCTCCATGACCTTGATGTGCTTGGGCGCCGCCATCTGGACTCGAGGAATGGACGGGTGGACCACGAACCCAAGCCATGTATTGATCTCTGCCAAATAGGTCTTCTTCCAGCTAAGGGGCGTGCCCAAGGCCACCAATGTACCCAAGAGGGCCGCAGTGAATTGCGGTCCTGTGGGCAGGCGAAGGAGCCAGCAAAAATCATCAACGAAGACAAAGCCCCAGTCGATCTGAGGGAAGAGGTAGTAGAGGATCTGCAGGAGCATTGGCTGTGCCTGGCGGTTCAATGGTGGTAGCTCGACCAATATGAAGCTGTGTCTGGGCCATGGACTTGGCGGCCCGGACCGCCTGTAGCAGGCGCATGGCAGTGAACCTGGAGGAGGCTTCATCAAAGTTGTTCTCCCCGTTCCGGAACTCCAGGTCCCGGGGCCCTTGGGCCCGTGCGTCCTCCGGGGTGTTCCAACGGTCCCCTAGGTCCTCCACTGTCACATAGCCCTCCTGGGCCAGTTTGGCCTGAACCACCCAGGGGATCTGTTTGGCAACCAGGATGAGAGCAAGCGGCTTCGTCAAGAGATCAAGATGTGGTTGGAGAGCCTCCGGTGCCTCCGTTGGGGGTTTGACTGGTTCCGCTGGGGGGGCGCCCCCTGCCCCTCCCCCACCACCTGCACCGCCGGGGGGTGCAGCCATCATGGGTGGGTCGGGTGGGTTTTCTTCCCAACCTTCAGGTGCAATCCTGCGTGCGATTGCTACCAACTTGAGCCAAAATGTCCCGGTGGGACATTTTGTGAACTTCAGTGAACATAAAACTTGCATCCGCAAGCTCCCTGCAAGTGTGAATATGTACCCAGAAGTCAAAAAGATCCCAAGAGCGCAAAAAGCTGCAGGCAGGCTTTTTCCAATGCGCTTTGGTTGATGCTGGGGTCCTCCCCCAGACCCTGTATCGTTTGATCCATTTCAAACTGCCCTGGGCTTCGCCAGGGGGGACAAGGGTGTGTCAGGCAGTAGGATTCGCCCAGTCCGGAGGTCTGCCTGGCACACCCGCCATTTCCGTAGGATGCAGGCAGGCCGAGGTGTGTGGCCTGGGCCCCAGCCCCTTCCCTGACACCATTCCAGGGCCAAGGGGCACCTGGCCGTGCGAAAACAAAGCACCTCAGATGGATTCCACTGGGAGCACCTTCGGTAACGGTACCGCATCAGCTTCCGATTGGGTGTCGACGGAGTCATCCGTCTCTGAGCCCGACGTGGCCGAGCTTTCCGTGTCCACTTCAAGATCAGGGATGTCCTTCCCCTCCACTGTGCCATGCCGGCTCACAAACCACTATTTGGGGAGGTCACCCTTGGCAAAGCACCGTGTGCACTTGCCGTAGCCCGTGGGGTTGGCCCAGTACTCCCCTGGAGTCAGCACTGTCATCTGGGCGCTTTTGGGGCGCCAGCCACAGCCCAAGCAGAACCCCTCCACAGTGAGAAGGTGTACACGGAGTTGCTTCTCTGGGCCCCGTACCGTGTTCGAGCTGATCACCTGATAGGAGTAGTCCTGGTCCGCTGAGTCCCCCTCCGGGAGCGGATCAGGGGCCTGAGCAAGGTAGTGGCCTAAACCATTGTCTGCTCCTTCCACGATATCCCACGAATCAGTGGTGCCCGGGGTCACCTGATCGGGTTGTGGGGAACCCTCTCCCACTGGTGGGGTGTCCGCCATGGAGCGTCGTGCAGACCGGGGCGGCGATCCTTGGTGTCGCTCATCTGCATCCACCGCCTCAGCCACTGGGTCGTCCCAGTCCCATGGTTGAGGTCCTCCCTGCGCTCACGGCCCAGTGTCATCTTGAGGGAGTTCACCTTGTCTGCCACCTTGGTCCAGATGGCGGTGACAACATTTCGTTTCTCCCGGGTATAGACATCAGCAGTCGACTCAGTCATCCAGTTTCCCAGGTACTGCCGTTCCGAGCGGGGAACCCCAAGCTGGAAGGCACAGTCCGGAATGAAGACCCGGAAGGAGTGCCAAGTAAGGGGCGTGACATGTTCCTGGGCCACCCCCCGACGTCGGAGAGCGTCTTTGAGCCACCGTAGGGCTCGGTCCCCTCCCGAGGGGCGCGGGATCAGTCCTGCGAAGTCCTTGCTGATCGTGGGGAGGAGATAGTCCATGCCCTCGAAGGCCTTGAGCACGGAGAGTTTCCGCACTGTGGATACGAACTGCAGGTACCAGGGTGCTCCAGAGAAGCTGTACTTCGGGCAGATCAACGGGACCGGTTTCGTGCGAATCCGAGCTGCCCTTGCCACCTTTGTCTGCCAGGCCTGGAGTTCAATGGTGTTGGAGGCGGTCCGGAGTTCCTCCGGGCGGACATGTTGTAGGTCATCGAAACGGGCACTGCAGCCCACCTGGAAGCGGGCAAAGCCCAGGATGAAGGCATCCAGCTGCTCGTGGCGTTCCCGACCGGGGGCTGCCTGCGCTGGGGCCGCTGGGCCAGGGGCACCAGGGGTCCCCCAAGCGCCGCTCCTTCCTCCAGCGCCCATATCACTTCCCGTGAGGGAACAGCAGCTTTCTTCTGGGGGCGAACCACCGTGGGAGCAAGCTCCTCTTCCAGGGCCTTTTTCTTGGTGACCAAGCGCTGGTGTTCGTCCACCTTGAGGAGGCCAAAGATCTTGGACAACCAGTTCAGGGTCTGCCAGATCTGTTGGAGTTTATAGGGCGAGACCTCGTCCATCTGCAGCTTGTTCAGCAGTAGACCAGGCAGTGTTGCCGGATCGAGCGGAACCTAGCATCGCCCAGGAGGTGCTTCAGTTCCATGCGGAAGTCAGAATCCCGCATGACCGCCTCCAGATTTGGGAGGTGTTCTGCATAAGGTGAGGCGTTCAGCCCATCTGCTCCGGAGCATGTCTGCATGTCTCGTCGGTCGTATGCGTACTGGAGGAGAGGGCCATATGTAGTGGTCATGGGTCCCTGAGTGACCTTAATCAGCAGATCCCACAAGGTGGATCTGATCATTTCCAAGTTGATGATCCTGGTCCATTGGTTGAGGGAGGCGCGCTGCGGCCGCTGTCACCAGCGCCATCAGGTAGTCCTCCACGACCATATGAATGTCCGGATCATCAGGATCATAGCCCCACACCAAAGGCCTAAAGACCATTGCAGGTTGGCCCCCAGCTCCAGGGACTCGTCCGGGGTGCCGACCCGCAAGCATGCCACCGCCAGTAGCTCTCCATCAGTTTGGCGGGGGGAAAATCCCTCGTCCACCAGGGTGTCAAAAATATGGCGGGGCAGCGAGTCCCAGGCACGGCAATAAGGTGTGCGATTCAGGAAGGCCTCACTAGTAAAATTCATGGCGTCAGAGATCGCCAGAAACAAACCTGCTTCCCCTACGCAGCCTAAATCATCAGAGTAGGGGGCAAAAAGGTTCAGGCAACAAGGGAAACAGGGAGAGGGTGTGGTCAGTTTCGCTCCAATGCACCTCAACGGTTAGACACGGAAACTGTCTCACACAACCAGTCAAAAGGCAAGCAATTGCAAGGTTTCCCACAACGCACCTCTTTTCCGCAAGAGAACGGTCGTCTAAGCGCCGCACCATGGCCACCACCGGGTGTTCCCCCCCCGGTTCAGGGCCAATGGGCACATGGACCTAAGGGAGGACACTTACGGCGTCCAAGCACGGATGGGCAGAGAGCTCAAAATGGATGCAAAATGGGGTGAGACAAAACGGTCTAGGCCCACTCACCCGCGGCACCCTCGCTCACTTAATGGCCGCTCAGGCCGCTGCCGTGACCTTTTGGGCCACTTGCTGAATTGCCCGGATGCCCTTCATCTCCTCGTTGCTCAAGATGACTTGCCAGATGGCATCGGACACGGCCCCCAGGTCGTTGCTGGTGCTGAAGCGCAGACGGTGGTTCATCTTGCCCACCGGTTCCAGGCGCTCGTCTCGGGGGGCGGCGCATGGCTCCACCCTCTTGTAGAACTCCATGCGCTCTTTGATCCACTTGTTGTAGAGAGCCTCTGGTGGCTCGTCCATCACCAGCTGGAGGGAGGCCAACGCTCCCCGGTGCTCACCGGTGATCTGGAGGAATCAACTGCCTCCCCTGGAGGCTTTCCAAAAGCCCTGGCAGTACCGGCACATGTAGCCCCCCTTGGTTGCTCCCTTCTCCTTGGTGGCCACCAGCTTCGAGTGCACCTCTGGGAACTGCTTCAGGGCGTCCAGCGGAATGGTGATCCGCTCATCGCAGATGGCCCGGAAGCGCATGGCTTCCTTGCTATCGTGCACCGGGGCCACGGGCATCTCCATCACCGGCGCAGGGCAGTTGGTCAGGAAGACCTTGCAATTGGTGGCCAGAAAGCTGCCCATCTCCCGGAGCACTGTGCGCCATTCGTCCTTGTCCGCCGGCTTGTCCAAGCCCAGGGCTGCGAGAAATGAGCTGGCCTCCTTGCGGGCCTCGGAGCGCCGGATGTTCCGGGTCTTGGTGGCCGAGGGCGGGGCATCTTTGCCTCGGCTTCAATGGCCAAAGGGAGGCTGCGCCACAAGCTGTAGATGTACTTGAAGGTGTACCGGTGCGAGTAAATGTGGATGAGGGACTTCAAATCCCAGGTGCGGCTCTCCCAGCGCCACCTCTCGTCCTTGTCAGTGTCATGGGCCCACCAGATGGAGAGGATGGACCCCAGCGGGGGCCGAGTTCCCTCCTGACAGTGCGCCTCCACCTCCTGGTCAGTGTAGTGGAAGGGCTCCACCATGTCTGACTTGGGTGGGTCCTGCGCTCCAGAGCTCGGTAGCGGTCGACCTCCTTGGGCGTGAGTGCCCCTGGCTTTGGCTCCATACCCCACCAAATATTCTGAGCTCTCCACGGTGCACCTTCAAAGCCCACTTGGCCTCCTCGTCCATCTCGTTGAGCGTTGCCATGCCAGGGCCGGTCACCGCTGGGCCATCGGCACCAGGGGTTGAGGCCTCCCCAGATGCCGCAGTGGCCACTGTGTGCTTGAGGTCGGGCATCTCCTCCAGGAGCTTGGGGTTTGCAGCCCAAGGGTTATGGCCGTTCTGCAGTGCCCTCATCGCCGGGAGGTGGTGCTGGAGCATGTCCGTGAGGTCCGGGACCTGGTGCCAGTCCAGGGAGACAGTCGGACAGAAGAGGCCCCGCTCCAGCTTGTGTTTGAGGTCCTCCTGCCACGAGATCTCCGTGGGGGTGATGGCAAACTTTTCCATGAAAGCGGTGCCCTGGTCTTGGATCTTTTTGTTTGCCTCTTTGGCCTTCTCCAGGGAGGTGACAGCGGCCTTGAGGGAATCCTCTGTGCTGCCCGTGGCCTCCTCTAGCATCCGCTTCTTCAGCGCCGCTTTGA